GGGTGGGTGGATGGATGCGTGGGTGGGTGGATGGATGGACGGATGGTAAGTGGACGGATGGGTGTGTGGATGATGTGTGGGTGGGTGGATGGATGGGTGGGTGGGTAGATGGATGGATGGGTGGGTGGGTGGATGGGTGGATAAATGGATGGGTGAGTAGGTAGATGGGTGGGTAGATGGGAAAGAGGAAGACAGGAAGGAAATATGCTCTTTGGACAAAGAGCATTCACCTCCCATTACATCACCCACTTAAGAGAAAACTCCAGGCCACCTGTGCTTCTCCCAGCTTCTCCCCGGTGCTAACAGCCACCTCCTCCTTTCACTGCCCCAGCTTTCCAGCTAAGTCAGACTCTGTCACTTCCAACATGTGTCTGGGGAGGGGGACAGTGGGGCGGGGAAGGGGAAATAAAAAGATCTGAGATGTGTTATGTTCATGTATCAACTACCTACAATGAACGTGACCATGAAGTACTGCAAACGTGGACTAATAAAAATAAAAATTAGAAAGCAAATTATCTGTCTAAATTTCTTTATCTTCTGCTTACTACAACCCTTAAGGAAAGACTAGCTGAGCGTGATCCATTCCAACCCTCTGCAACCTCCCTGAAGGTACACGGGCAGCAGGGCTGCACACAACCAGTCAGTCACAACAGCAGCACAGAAACTCAGTGGCTAACCCCCAAGGACATCTATACCGAAGAGGACCAGGCAAAGCCATCCCCAGTGTCCCTGAGACCAACTACATTCTTACCAGAGTTTGTGATGAGAAAACATTTGTTTAAACTTAACATTATTACCTTGACTTTCAACAAGTAATTTTTACACTTTATGGCAATCAAAATTAAAAAAACACACCTTGACAAACAGAAAAACAACGATCAAAAAACAATTCTTCACAATAGCATAGATCAACTACCACAAATAAATGCAGGAGGCAGGCACAGTGGCACATGCCTGTGATCTAAGCTACGTGGGAGGCTAAGGCCGGAGGACTGCAAGTTCAAGACCAGTCTGACCAACTTGGCAAGGGAGCATCTCAAAATCTTTTTAAAAAACTGCAAAAGGGGTGGGAGAGTGCCTCAGTGTTCCCTTGGTTCAATCTGCAGAACAGAGGAAGGGTAAAACGGAGAGGAGAGGAGGAGGGAGGGAGGAAAAGAAGTATAAAACCTTGACAACAAAAACTATGAAACACTGTCAAATGAAAGTAAAGACCTAAATAAATGGGGAGCTATACCATTTTCATGGACTGCAAGATTCAATGTTATGTTACTCACTGCCTCCAGTTTCATTTGCACATACAACAGTCTCTACCAAAAGCCAAGCGGGTATTTCTTTTTTAAGTAACCGACAACCCCAATCTAAAATATATGTTTAAAAAAGGGTTTGAACATTTTTTTTTTCCAAAAACGCTGGGGATGTAACTCAGTGGTAGAGATCTCACTAATATGAACCAGGCCTTGGGTTCAATCTCTAGCACTGAAAAAAAAAAAAAAGATTTTTGAGAAATTTAGAAATTTTGACTCCATTCTTACTATAGGCACAAAATCTATTGGTTTATTTGTTTTGAGACAGGGTCTCACTATGTAGTTCAGGCTGGCCTTGAATTCATTATGTAATCCAGCCTGGCCTTGAACTTGCTGCGATCCTCCTGCCTCACCTTCCCGAGTGCTGAGATGACACGCATGTACCAGCACACCCAGTGGCATAATCTAATTTAAATTTCTGAAACCTCTTAAGATGAGTCAAGGGCTGGGGATATAGCTCAGTGGCACAAGCACCTGCCTGGCAAGGGCAAGGTCTGAGTTTGATCCCTGGTACTGCCCCCCCAAAAAAAGAAGTAAAAAATTAATCATTACAGAAAATATTTTCATGGTTTTGAGTTACACAGTATCTGAGTCTACAAACAAATCTCACACACACACACACACACACACACACACACACACACACACACACACACATCATAGCCAGGCACAGTGCAGCAAGCCTGTAGTCCCAGCTACTGGGGAAGCTAAGGCAGGAGTTCAAAGTCAGCCTGGGGAACTTAGCCAAACTCCACAAAAAATGAAAAAAGGGAAGCAAGTGATAAAACAAGAAAGAAAAGCAGACAGAAAGCAAAGAAACGAGGGTCTTGAAGTTATAAGAGTATGTCCATATTCACAGTAATGTTATTCTCAACAGCCAAGAGGGAAACCAACCCAAATCCAAGCACAGATGAGCAGATAGCAAAATGCAGTGTATGGAATGTTATTTAGCCTTACAAGGAATAAAATTCTGAAACGTTACAGCGTGCATGAACTCTGAAGACATAAGGCTACTATGTCAAGTAAAATAAGCAAGACACAAAAGAGCAGGTATTTTATGACTCCACTTACATGAGTTCCTAGGGTGATCATACTCATAGAGACACAAAGTTGAGTAGTGTTTGTCAGGGGCTGTAAAGAGAAAAAAAAAGGGTTCATTTTTAAAAGATTCCAAGTTTCAGTACCGAAGGGTGGGAAGTTCTGGAGATACATACTAGCAATGGTAACAGCAAGTCGAAGTATTTAATGCCACTTCATTGTAAGTTTGGTTATCTATATTTTACTATTTTTTTTTTTGAGATAAGGTCCTGCTATATGGTTCAGCTTGGCCTTGAACTCCCTTTGTAGCCCAGGCTGGCCTCAAATTTGCAGAGATACTCCTGCCTCAGCCTCCCAAGTACTGGGATTACAGGAGTGTGTCACCATTGCTGACCCAATATTTGTTTAAGTGTCAAAAAAAAAAGGTCAAATATAGCTCAGGTCCCGAGTTCAATTCCCAGTACCAAAAAAATCCTTAGTTCACATAGTTTATTCTTCAAATGGTTTAGTTTACCATTTCATCATTTTTATTGGCTTTTTTTCCTTGTTATTAATCTTTGGTTTCAATGCCATTAACTGAAATTGAATTCTGAAACTAGTGACATCTGATTTGATATCACAAATCAGACTGTAATTAATTTTTTTTCATAACACATCATTACTGATCGGTATGACAGCATCCTCTGTATTTTACATGTTAATGTAGCTGCACACATACTGTTATGATTTATATCTAGCTGTCCCCCAAGAGCCTCATGTGCTCATCAGGGGGCTTTTGGAAGGTGACTGAGTGATGCAGGCTTACAGCTGAATATGGGTGTGGTCACAAGTGGTGTGCCTGGGGGCGTGGCCTGTGAGGGTTTATCTCCCCACCACCTCCACCCTTTCCTCTCTGCTTCCAGGACTTCTTGAATGCAATCTTATAGCTTATTTGTTAACTTGTGAGTTACCAAACACGCTCCCTACAAATATAAGGAAATCAAATGAAATTTTAAAATGCAAAAAAACCAACCCCAAAGAAACAAAAAACTACAAGCGAATTACAAAAATTAAAAGTGCTCTAGAAGCTGCGCAGTGCAAGCTGTAATCCCACCATTCTGGGAAGCTAAAGCAGGAAGATCACAAGCTTAGGCTCAGCCCAGACAACTTAGTGACTTAGGAAAGAACCTGTCTCAAAAACAAACAGGAAAACAGGACTGGGGATTTAATTCAGTTCAAAAATCCTCGGTTCAATCCCTAGCACTGCCAGAAAGAAAAATAAAAACCCTCCAAAGCACAATTTACGACACCGCAGGTAAAGGTGACAGCAGTCATAGAGTTCCTCTCGGTCACTCCTGTGGACAAATGACTGTCTTTGGTGGAATCCAGACCCCACACCACATGAAGCAGGGGCTACTCTTGGGTCTCCCTGAACCGTAGCAAACCAATCAAAAAAGACACCCTCACACTATCAGAACTGTGCAAAGGAGCTCAGTATTTCAGCAACTTGCACAGAGGAACATAGCAAATGGCAGCAGAGGAACTGGACTCCACCTTTATTTTGGTTTGGTTTTTTTACTGTATTGTTTTGAGACAGGGTCTCGCCATGTGGGGCAAGCTGG